GGGTGGCAGGGGTTCTCCCATGGTCCCCTTCCCTCTCCCCCAGCCCCCACTCCCTGGCCCCTAGTATTTACCGATTCAGAGTCAGCTGCAGCTCCCTGCTGCAGCCACCAGGGACTGTCCAAATGATCAAAGCTCTCCAAATCTTTTCTGAAGATTTGGAGAGCTTTGAATTGATTTGGACCTTTAAATTGGTCCCCGATTCGATTTGGATTTGGGGATTCGGCCACCAAATCCGGCTGAATCAAATCACCACCCAAAGCTTTGCACAGCCCTAGTTGGCAGTTTGTGGGTAGCTTTGATTTGTGAGAAACAGCTGAATTATGCAAAGTTAGTTTACCAGGAGAGGTCTAATTGAGTGGAGCAGTCAGATATACCCCATTAATGCAAACTAAGCTACTTTACTCCTAGAGAAATCTTAAACAGCATACAGTGCCCTGTGTTTGCTTTAGGCCATATTCAGATTGCTCATATACATGATGAAAGCCTAGGCAGCTCCTTGATAAGCTTTTAGGAATACCTTCAACTTTATTTTTGCTTTTGTAGTTAAACTTATGATAGCATACCCCAGGACTGAATACAGTGTTTACAGATACATGTCTAAATAATGTACTGAGCCCGTTCTTCAGGGCTAGGGACAGACATTCAAAAAGCCAGAGCCTGAATTGATTCAACCTTTGCAGATTAGTCTAATCTGCCTAGGCTGAACTGGTTTGTAACAGGACAAACTTTCTCTCTGGACTGAGGCAATGCAGGCACATGTGCCTGCATTGCCTCAGTCCAGAGAGGACAAGGAGCAGGGGGGTTGGGGGTGGAGTGGGGCTGAATGAGGAGTGGCGGAGGGGGGCTCAGGGATGGACATGGGGCTCCGTTCTCCTCCCCCCCCCCCCCCCCCCATCATTCTTGACGAGCAATTTGCTAGTAACCTCATAAATTTGTCATCCTTGTGACTGGATTTTTTAAACTGGAGTGATGGCCGGTCACAGAGCAGGGGGGAGGGGGAGGGCACGGTTGTGGTGGCTGCTCCCAGAGCAGGGGAGCCAGGTGGTGGATGGTTGTGGGAGCTGCCACGTGCAAGCTTCCCCCTCCTTTACTCCCCAATGTAGAGTATTTTTAAAAAGTGCCAGATTTTTGAGAATTCCAGATTTTTTATATCCGGATTTATGAGGTTATACTGTGTGTGTGTGTGTGTGTGTGTGTGTGTGTGTGTGTGTAGCACAAGCTTTCATGAGCTGAAGATCACTTTATCAGATGCCATAAAAGGACATGCACAAATCTGTATAAGAAGAGAAACAAATTTAGAATACTAATGGCAACTCAGTCACTTCTGCCCATAATCCCTTCCAACACCTCAAGTACTGGCCCTGGCCTGGGATCATAAATAACGAAGAAAAATATCAAAGCAGACAGACATCTGATAAGTTTAGCAACTTATCCCAAACTTCTGAGAGAGAAACTGGGATGGAAATGGAGACATTCTTGCAAGATTTCTGGGCTTCATAATTCTGGTTTTACAGAAAGAACACAGAGAATCTCTCAGATTATTTCAGTTTATATACATCAAGTCCCTACTGAAACAAGGAAATGAAGTGTATATAAATATAGGAGAATAAAAATGGAAAAGAGTTAACCAGGTGAATATTACTGGCTGACATAGTTCATTAACAACTAGTTAGAGATGCCTGGGTTTTTTAGTCTGTTCTTTTTGGAACTACAAAATTTAGTTCCTTCAGTGTCTCTTATTGTCTTATGCTCTTTGTATCCCTTGTTTTGCCCTTTTTGTTATTAAACATGTTTATTGTGGCTGTGCTCAGGCACCCAAATGAATGGGGCTCTACATGGTTTGTGCACATTGCAGCGGCAGTGGCTTTTGGTGAGAACAGTGCTTAAACTCTGCACATCCACACCTGCAGGCATTTTTCAAATCCAAAAATTTATCACTAACAAAGCTCTAAGCCAGTGGTTTTCAACCTGTGGTCTGCAGACCCCTAGGGGTCATTTCCTGGGACCCCTACAGGTCCACAGACTGTCTAAAGGTGACTATGATCAATCAAAAGTATGTGAATACCCACACTTCCAATTCAAAAGTGTCCACACCTCCATTCAAAATTATTGAAGGGGTCTGAGCCTGCATTTAAAATGTTTTAGGGGGTCCACAAATGAAAAAAAGTTGAAAACCACTGCTCTAAGCTCTTCCCACTGAACCCACGTTTGAGCCCTCAGGTTTTGGTTTTCCTGAGAGCAGCCACTGATAACAAGGCCAGAGTAGCCCCACAGCTGAAATTCGGGATTTAGAGCCCATCAGAAGGTGTTAGTGAATGCAGCCTGGACAGGGCATGTTTGGTCTGATCCTTAGCAGACCCCGCTGCTGCTGCAGTGCAGAAAAGACCATTTTGCTAGGCATTTTACAAACTGGAGTAGAAGACAGCCCCTATCTTAAGGAGTTTACAATCTCCTTAAAGAGTTTACAAGAAGAGTTTTTTTTTCTAAGTTTCTCTGCTATGCTCTTTTATGACATGTTCAAAGGAAAATAGAAGAGACTGCAGTGCTCACCATTTCTGCTAGTGATAAATACAAGAACATTCCAGCTGTGACTGTAAAAATCCAGTTCTGAACACATGGGTCGGTAGATACAGAAAGGCCAATGTAAAGCCCTAAGAAGGCAGTTAGTGCACTTATAAAATTCATCAGAATTGCAATTTTTGTAGAGAGCCCTGTACTTAACAGCACAGCAAAATCTCCTGCATAGAAAAAATAAGAGGAAGACAATTTATTACACAGCTGATAAAACATTTTCAAAATCATCTGATAGTAAATCACACGATAATTAAGATATACACAAACACAATGTATTGGGTAATAGATTCGGGGCATCTGTGACATTTCTAACTTGGATACATTCAAATCTGAAACCACATGCTTTCCCAGAGTTTCTAAAGCTTTCTTAATTGGGAACTTGCCAGCAGAAACCTTGTGACTATATCTGTAACTTGGCCTTTGAGTCTTTACTTACAGGTGCTGTATGTCAGAAGAAAATGGTGGGTTTGATTTTAATCTTGGGAGGGTAATTTCATTGCTTCCAGTGAAGGTACTCCCAGTTAGCCCTGTGATAAGTTATATCAGAATTACCCATTAAAATGTTCCTTTTCTATTATATACCACTGCATTAAAGTCACGTAGCACAAGTATTTTGGAGGAAAGTTAATTGCATCGTCTTGTCACCCACACCAGTTTGGTTGTAATTAATGTTTTATCATTCTGGTCTATCAGTTAGCAAAAGTGTTTGCAGTCTCTGGAACCAGTACACTGAGAGGTTGCTTCTCCACAGTGCAGAGTTAGAGGGATCTATGTATACGTGTAGGGCTAAAAATAACGAGTAGGAAAAGCAGTGCTAGCAGATCCACCTATATTACTGAAAGCAGTCCTGTGTATCCACAGCATTGCTTATAACTAGCAGCAAGACTAAACCCAATGTAGGGTATGGACTTCTTAGTGCCTTGATTGCATGGTGAGGACCTCATTGAATTCCATGTTTCCTCAGCCATAACCACAGCTCACCACTTTGTTTGCTCCTGGGTGCCTGACAATAAGGAATGAGGTGAGGCTTCTGCTCAATGGAAAAGATTATACCTGTGCCAAATCTAAGTCTCTGTGCTTGAACAATGGACTACACTGAAATAAATACAAGTACTAGTTAAGAGCAACAGCCTATCCCTAATTAGAGAGCTATGCTGCTAGGTGGAGGGAACAGCATGATCAAAATAGACCTTCAAGTGGGATAAAAAAAAGATCTGCAGTGAGAGCTGTATGATCAGTGAGAGCTGTATGAGAGCATATGACAAATTGATGTGGGGTTGGACATACCAGCCCAACCCGGTCTGGCTGATGCATCCTCTTGAGGATATTGTGTTCAGTGGCAGGAAGGCACTAGTGAAAGATTCACTCCTACTACTTATGCAGAAGATGGGGTAAAAGGAGGGCTGTGCCCTCTTCACCTGATCCATCCAGTATACCAAAGGTAGAACAAGGCAGGATCCTATAAAATGGCATGGTTACCCAAGACCATGAAACTGGTTAGGAAAAATGAGCAATGATGTTTGCTTACCCATTTCATGGGGAATTTCATGGCATAAGATAGCAATAGTAGTTGTCACACCCGTTTCTGTTGAGGATGAAAATGCTGCTCCTATTACCAGGCCATCAGCAAAATTGTGAAGGCTGTCACCCACCAAAACCATTATTGCTAACAAACTAATTTCTTTGCCTAGGAAACAAAATCAAAAGTAAAACCAAAAATGTATCACATACTTCTACCTATCTGCAAACCTGTTCTATTCATTGAACCCAAACTTTGTGTTGTGAAAAGCCAAGACAACTAAAAGATGGCTGTTCTTATTGTACTTTTGTTCTTATTGTGCTGGTTTCAAGAATTTAGCATGAAAAAACAGCCAATAATATATTTCAGAACTGCAAATACCAGGCAATAGCCTATTTTTGTCTCTTAAAAAGGTAGACTATTTTGACAAAAAGTTTAGATTTGGTCTGAGCACCATTAGTGATTTACTCCAAGGATTTCTCATTAACTTCACCCTAGGCTGCTCAGGCTCATGTTTGCTTTTCCTCCCATCTCAAACTGTTTTTCCTTAAAAGGAGGAGTTTATCCAACTTGGGTCAGAGAGGTGTACAGCTGTAATGAAGGAAAGAATTTAGCCTCATGTAAATGGTGCTTTAAACACTGAGTAGGACAAAATTAATGTTTTCACAGCCTCATCTTTAGGCAAATATTACATTAGGAGAAAGGATTCAAAAGGCAAAACACCTTAAAACACCATCATTAGTACAGTGTCATAGCGTATTAGTTCTGACCTTTGTTCCAGTCAATTAATGAACACTGTGATCACGCATAGCACTCCTGTCTTTAGCATCAACAATAGAGGTGGTTGTTTTCCTTTTCCCTCGTTTTCCATGACCTTGCTTTAGCACTGAACCTCAGGACTGTGCAAATAGGGAAATATTCAATCTGGATTCAGATTCAGCCAATTCAGAGGACAGTGATTTGATCTGGAGATTCAGATCACTTTGTCCCTAATTGATTTGTCCAAATCGGCTTCGGAAGATTTGGCGCTGATTTGGAGAGATTCAGTATTTCAGCCATAGACTATAATGGGGAATCACTGAAATACCTATAACTTTGTCAGTTTTGGCAGATTTTGATGAAAACAGCAGAGATGGTATCCCCATCTGAGGGCATGAAGCCTGCCAAGCTTCAAGGAGATAGATGCAGGGGTTTCTGGGAAACTGTACCTCAAACTGCTGAAAGCAAAACTCGTGTCACTTGTGTGTGTTAAGGCAGATTTGGATGAAAACAGCAGGGATGGTAACCTGTAACAGGGGGCCTTACCAGTGCAGGTTAGATCTCTGCCTGCCCACCTGTTTCTGGGGCAGCTGCCAGCCCCTCTTTTGCTCAGGCAGAAACAGCTCACAAAAGGGACAGAAAGGCTGCAGACAGAGGCTTATATGCTGTTTCTATATTCCTCCCACAGAGCACTGTGATTGAAAGGGGACTCAGGGATTCTGAATCGATTCAGACTTAGTTTTTTTGGCCTCCCAATTCCATTCGGATTCGGTGATTCTGCTTCCAAATCAGGCCAAATCTTCTGAATCGAATCGGTGACTGAAGCTTTGCACACCCCTACTGAACATTACATTATTTGTGATTCAGCATTGGGAAGACTACTAACCACATGCATAGTGAAATACATTAAGGCTAGGGACCAACATTCAAAAAGCCTGAGCCTGAATTGATTCAACCTTTGCAGGTTAGTCTAATCTGCCTAGGCTGAACTGGTTTGTAACAGGACAAACATTCTCTCTGGACTGAGGCAATGGAGGCATTTCCCTATTCCCTGCTGGCTGCTCAAAGAGCGGGAGTATTGCCAGATCCCAGCCCCCTGCTAGCACCCTAAGCAAGGGGGCAGAGGGGGGAGGGTGTGCAGTGCATTCATCTGTTGATGATACGGAGCTTTTCAATCTCCCTGTCCCTGCTTCTTTATACTGTCTGCAGCAAACTGATCTGATAACAGTGTTTATCACCCCATCAGAAAAACAATAGCCTCTCCCCATTAGTTCAAATGCTTCTTAAACAGCTTACCAGCTAACCTGTAGATTAGCTCCAAAAAGGCCTATGTGGTCACTGTTCTGTCTGGTTGTGCCAGTGAAATTGGAGAAACACACACAGAGACAACTCCCAGCATTAGCTAGATTACCACATGCCTAGGGTCCATGGGGATAGGGTCTGTTCTGTGAGAGATGGGAGGGAGGGGGGTGGGGGATTCCTGCTTGTCCAGCAAGCAGCGAAGGTGGTAGGGCAGGGGGAAGCCAGGCACATCCTGCTGTACCTGCAGTGTCTTCTGGAGCTGCAGCCAGGGAGCAGAGGGGAGGGGCCAGCTCTGCTGTGAAGCAGAGAGCCCCACCCATCCTGGAGAGCATGCCAAGATGTTGAGGGAGTCTGGTTTATCTTAAACCAGCAAGAGGTCTGAGACAGACATTGCATAAACTGGTTTGAGCCAAATCAGTTAAGTCTGATACTGCATTCAACCAGGTTTATCTCGAACTGTTTCCAGCCATTTTCAAACTGGTTTATGTGCACTGAACAGCTGTTCTGTTACAGGTTTAAACTAGTTTCTGATCACTTAAACTGGTTTATGTGTAATGTCTGTCCCTAGCCTAAGTGTTTTAGGATAAATCTTCTGCTCGCTACTTGGACCAGACAGCTGGGTTGCATGAACTCATACACAGGGGAAATACATTTTTCTCCCAGCTATAGATAAGCTGTAGGCTATAGCTATGGGCCATAGAGTTCAATAATTAGGGCAGGTTTATAGCTGGTGCCAAAATCCTGAACCATTTTTGGTCCTGGGACAATTCATTCCATCCACACTCATAACCACATATGCAGCACACATTACATACCTCCCAGAAAGCGTGCCCAATGCCTGTGTATCCTGCATGCATAGTAAAACAGCAGTGGTTCGGTCCCACTGCTAAGGCATACCTGTCTGAGGGTGAAGTTACACTTAGACTACAACAAGGATACTTAAAACATGAGTGTCTGCATGGTAAAGCTCATTAAGTAGTGCTAAATACCCTCTGCATGTCTCAAAGTTACACCATTTCAGGCAAGGGTTAACTCTGGGCTGGGCTACCTAGTTTGGGTTAGGGTAACTCCAGTCTCCTTCACAGAGATAAAATGAGGAATTTGCAGTCCTTCAGTATCCCAGGATGCACTGCCCCACCACCCCATGTAGGGATAGAACCCAGGTTCCCTGTCTCCTGGCCAAACCCCTACTCACCAGCCCTCTAGTGGTAAGTAAGAGCCCTGCAGGCAAGAAACAATATTAACCCTTAACTTGCAACTGTTCACAGCATGTACTAACTTTAACACCACTTAACACTCCATGATTTTAGTATGATCTAAGTGTAACGTGTAACTTCACCCTGACTATACAAGCAGGGTCAGGATTTGTCCCTATAAACCATCAGCTTTTCTAACTACCCTCTACCACCTCATAGATACAACATGACTACCCTGGGTTGTAAGGTTGTATTTCACAGGTGGATATAAGGTGGATATTATTATTACAAGGTTTTATTGCAATACCATTTTTCCAGAGAAGACTGTTTTACAGAGTTGGGGGGGGATGCTTTTCCTACATAAACTGGCTAGAGCCAAAGCCTTCAAACTGTTATTAAAAAAAAAAAAAAACCCCAAAAAACAAAAACAGCATAAAAGCCTAACAACTGTATTCAGAAAATCCTCCCCGGTTGCCTGGGAGCCCTATGGGTTCAGTAATATTGGCAGGCTTGTTAGATTTTCTTGCCAGCTTACAGAGCCAAATGTGGATGTCCCCAGATCACACAGCTTTTTCTAAACACTTTGGGCAGTTTATAATCAATAGTACAGGACAAGAGTTACACAGAAATAATATATTGCTGCACTACAGTAAGTTTGTGATTTGTCATAAGTATTGGCTAGAATGAAACTGTAGCTCACCATAAGATATTTAGTCTGTTTTATTAAATAATAGCTGTGGAAAGAGGAATAGTGTAATTACTGGAACTCCTTCCAACATATTATCATCAATAATATAAAATGGGGGTCAGGGTAACTTTATGGCATGTGAAACATTTTAAAGCTTTTGCAAATGTAGCCTTTGTGAACACACTGGACCAACATCCAAGAAAATCCATGCATAAAAAACCCTGAAGGCTTTTCCTCATTTTTTCTTCATTCCATTTTAAATAACAATAATGTTCTTAACAAACATGTGAATACACTTTACTGCTCTACTCTACAATTTCCTATAGTATCTCTCTGAAAATGAGCATTTTAATTTAAATACTTCATCTCTGAATAACCTGCAATACATTTGTAAATGTTGGTGCATTCTTTGCAATAAACCAGGAAATGGGGCCCATAGCAGATTCTGCTTCTTAATTTTTCTAGCTAGCTTAGGTTGGATTTCTACCACATGATTTCGCATTTACAGGGTTTAATTTGATCTACCTTTGCCCATAAGCATAAAGCTTTTAGTTCAATGTTTTCATGGTTAATACCATATGCTTCATACAAAAACATTTCTGATAAATCTAATGTGAATCAAAAAATGCAAATACAAAATGCTGATATTGTTTGCTGAGATACAGACAGAAGGGATCTTACAGTCAGAAACATAAAAAGGACTTAGCTACCTAAAGGGAGATCTAACTGGAATTTAAGACATGCAAGTGCAAAAGTAAATCCCTCTGCCTCACTCATTGATGACTAGGCTGGAAAATTCCCCAAGCACCTAAAACTCTGATTCTGTGCATGTCCAGAACTGCTTTCATTTTGTCAGGGCTTAGCATCTTGGTGTTTATCTTAGGCCTACTCTGCACACCAACAGGATTTGGCTCCACATAAAATATAGCAGCAGTGGCCACATATGTCCAAGAACTACAGCTAGACAATGCCGCTCCCCTCTCCCCTCAACCACACACCCCTTTTTATACAATAGCTAAGCAGAGGTAGACACCCTGAATTCAATGCCCCCAGCCTCAGGAGATATCCATGTTGCCAAGGACAGGGATGGCCTATCCAGGTGCCACAAGTGGCACAGGCAGCCTCTATGTGCCATGCAGAAGATTGGGAAGGGGACAGGTAGCACAGTGGTAGATAGAGCAGGGAGCAGAAAGCAAAGCAGGAGATAGAATAGGGCAGGGAACAGAAAGCTGAGCAGAAAATTGGTTAAGGGAAAGGGATCAGAGTGGTGCTCAGGGAAGGTGTGGAGCTAATTTGTGGCATACACGTCAAAAGAGTTGACCCCCACTGGATGTAGTATGATCTATGGATGGCCATGTCCAGGGAGCTGAAAGATGTGGACTTTAACCCCTCAGGAGGAGAATGGCCTGTAACCTGGTCTTCCACTCCCTGAGTGAATGCTTCAACCAGAAGCAAAGTATAAAAAAGGGTGGTTTTGGTACCTCTTCCAGCCATTTTTAGAAAGAAATGTGTGATTTCCTCTCTCTGTTTTCTCTTAGGCATCTATTTCCAGGTGTAGTTTCATGGCTGTGAAATGCAAGGAGAGGGAGTTATGTCCCCAGCACTCAGGGTTAGGTATGTAAATCCAGACAGGTGTAATTTAAGACATACCCTGTCTTCTGTGTTTCTTATTAGCTACTGTGGGTGGCATCCTCAGTCTGCTGGCTGTTGCGAATCCCATTCTGAGCTACCTCACTTTTCCCATCCATTGTCCAAGGAGCTCAAGGGCTTCCATCATGTGCCTGAAAGATTACATCAGGAATCCAATGCCTAAATCCCTTGGTTGATTTAGGTCTTAGTAAAAAAAATGCATCAAGTATCAAAATAAAGTCTTTGAAAGTTTGTTATTTCTCAAAATATTCTTAGACAATATTATGCCTAGTTTTCCAATGCAGCAGGAGGACTGAGTTATGACCCAAAAAAATGAAACGGAGTGGGGAATTTTTAATGAAGAGATACTTGGAAAATTATCTCAAATAGAGACGTACTATATTTGGAGCAGATAACCTTGACACTGCCTGGAATATCTTTGATGTTTAGTAGATAGTGATGACTAAACAGCATTGCAAAATCTAGAGATGAAGTAGATAGTAGCAGTGAAACGGGTACTTGATGATGTACTGAAGGAAAGGTCAGAATCAAGCAACCAGAATCCAGTTTTCAAAAAGTAAAATCCATGACAAAATGGAAACGAAGCCTGTAATATCCAAAGAAGAGCACAAAGGAACTAGCAGAGCCTTATGAGACTACCAAAGCATTTTGGGTCAGGTCCTGAAACCTTAGTGTCACTAGACAAAAGGGAAAAGAATATAATAAATACACAGATTTTAGGTAATATAGGGTTCTTTTAGTCTTATCCCTGCTACAATATTAAATGGACTAAAGCCAAGCAGAGACAATGAGAAGGATTTCTTAATTCACTTAATCAGACAATAAGAGAATCGGTTGGTCAAAAAATAGCTTGAATAATATAATGAGCCCAAAGCTCCATATGAAGCATAAATTCCTGCAGGTTTTAATAAAGCTATTTCATTACCATGAAGGAGACAGAAGGAGTAAGGGAGGCATTTTTTTTCAGTGTGGTGAGTCAGGAAATGAAGAGCAATGACAGTAAATTGTAGACAGCTGTGTTAATCTGCAGTCAGGCAGGAGGCAAGATAGAGGTGCACTTTATAGACTAACTAAATCTGAGATGGATAAGCTTTCATCTCATGCTATGAAAGGACACACAGTGACCAGGACTATCAAATTTTGCTCAATGCATGTCCAGTCGTAGTATCTGATGAAGTGAGCTGTGGATCACAAAAATTCATGCATCTCTGATTCAGCCTATAAGATGTGCTTCTGCTTTTGCTTCACAGTAAACAAGTGAGAGTTTCCCTTTAAGTGAAGGGTTTTGGAAAAATAGTTCACAGTGGTGGGTAAACAGACACTGAAGCGAGGACCATCTAAGATTAATGAACTTCACAATTATAGGGCTGGCTAGCTGGAAACATTTCTTAAAACAGAGATTTAATTATGTAGCTAGGCAGCAATGGAAGTGATGATGTAACACAGAACACAGAGCTGAGTCAGTTTCACACTTTCAATCCCATCCTAAATCTTAGGATTTTGTGTTGCCTGTTTAGTCTTTTTACCAATACTAACATTTTCTGCTGGTCGCCTTATTGTCTGTAGGAATTGCAGCAGACTCAGAATCTTCCGGACTTCTCTAATTAAGAGGAGAGACAATGGATTGGTTATAGAGGCTGTTTCAACCTGTTGTTATTAAACAGTAAAAAGTCAAATAGCTTCACTGATTTTTGCAGGAAACATTAGCTGCTGTCATCTACGTCTATGCCATTATCATCACTGGAGTTACTATTTGAACACTGATCGCGTGGCTATTTTTTCCACAAGGAACTCTTAATCTAACTCAGACATAAATAAAACCATTTCAGTACCATTGTGGGCTCTTGAGAAGATCATGTTTCATTGTTGAAATACAAACAACTAGGCCTAAAATTCAGAGCTGAATAGGACTGTGTTACAATTCAGGGAATTTAAACAGTTTTTATTATGAGACAGCGAGCTTTGTTGTATCATAATCCTGGGTAGTGTGAAAGCATTTTTAAGGAAATATAGTAGACTGAAATTCATATGGACTCATGGAGTCCATAATCTTATTGGCCACTTTGAAACTGCACGATCCTGATGGAGATGACAACAAATATTGTTTGGAGATGGCAAACAAATATTAAGGTACTGGACTGCCTGAGTTTTGAAATATTAATATACCTACTTTTGTAACATGCCTTCATCTTAGTTTTAGGAGTAAGTCATAAAAACAGCAGAGGAGCCATCCTCTTTTTGTGTTAACTATTTTTCATGCACGGTGCCTACCAACTGGAACAGAACTGGGCCCCAAATTTCCTTCACTGTGGTGCACCACCTCAACCCCTTAGTCTTTGTCTAAACTGAGGATTGCAACCAGTTGCAGTCATTAGTAGCCGGGCAACAATGTTGGTGAACTGATACCAAATCTACTGTAGATAGGTAGAGGTGGTATTAGCACCACAGGAGTTCACCCTCATTTCAAGCTGTAGTAAATTGTCTGGAGTAACAAATAGCTTTGCCCATGACACTAGAGGTTTGAACTCATGTTTGAACCTGATTTGCCTATCAACTTTTAGAACTGGGGCAAGGCCTTAATCTCACTATGTATTCCCTATTCTGGGAAATGGAGGGCTTTTGGCAAAGAAATAGAGAACCAGCTAGATTTCCAGTCTTAATCTCTGCTTAGTTGGGGAACCAAGGTATTAAAACTACCATAGCTGCCTATACAGAGCTCACAAAGAGGATACTTTGTGCGAGTCAGCACTCACTGCTCCAAAGAACAGAACTGCAATGCATGCCAGCTGCAGTGTGTATTGTGTGGTTCTCTTTTACTACAATTATTGTGGTGGTGAAGTAAAAAAGGGGTTGTGTGCCTCTGAGGCACAGACTAAAAAAATGTCTCTTATTTCTACATTTAAGAAAACAACAACTTTGCTTCCCATGAGTGTAGCCAGTCATATGAATTCCAGCATTTATTCCAAGTTTTCTCATAGTATTTATTCACATGGCATCACTTTGAACTCTGTGTCAAAAATCCAAGACTAATCATTGACCTGAAAGATTTATTAGTTTTTTGTAGTCAACCAATGTTTGTCTAATAATTATGCACATGGTTCTGAAAAACATGGGCAGCTCTCATCCAAACTGACTAAGTCACGTTAGTTCCTATTATCCATGCATAGCTTTAGGACGGTTTTGGTCGTTAACGTAAACAGGAAGTGATCATGCAACTTGAAATTTAGTACGTTCTGTCTTCACTAGTTTGTTTACATGCATTCAGGCAACAACCGTGGTCTGTGTATCAACAGTGGCCCATGGGTCATTTCTTGATAACCAGTTTTCTATAAAAAGTGGTCCATAGAAATATTTGAGATCCACCAATTTAAATAAAACTGCAGTTATACATCCTGAAATTACAGACAATCTGAAGCAGAGACTGCCCTTGGAAAAAAGAAAAAAAGAAAAAAAAGCGCTAAAATGTAGCAACCCATGTAGATGCTTGAGCACTGCTCCATAGATCTAACTGGAATTTCTTAGTGATTAGGCATTTTCAGTTGTCTGGTTTTATGTACATATTCATATGAATGGAAACATGTAGCCTGAGATTTCAGCTGTTAACTAATTATATGCTGTAATCTTTTTGGATATAATCTTTCAATACATACTCTAGCTTAAAGTTTGAAAGGTGTTTTGCCAGGAGCTTCAAGGAAATGGGTATGCTATGTCACAGTAGAGCACCCTCTGGTACAGGTTATTCATTAATAAAATATTTATTTTCCTAGGACAAAAAATTTAAATCAGGACAAAAATCATGCATCTCTTAAATTGCTTTGGGAGAACTTTCTCAACCCAGGACTGTCCTTATTAAACTGGACTGCTTGGCAGTTATATCCTTGCATGGGATTTACTTTTGAAGACAAGGAAAACGGCAATTTTTTTGAAAACATTCAGGGCAAAAGGAATTACATCTTTCCGTTATGTATTTGTAGATGCTCTTTATAAAGATTTATGATTAACATCTGCCTGAAAAGATTTATTATGTACTGAGAAATCTACAGATACTTAACAATACATCCTTTCTCAGGCCACAGAATGAGAAAATTGATAAACTCTGAAAAATATTATTAACTTATGATATTAATTGGGTTTATTCTTTGAGATACAGAGAAAGAAGGAAATCAAGTCAGTAAAGCATTTCATATCAGGAACCTACCAAATGTATGGTTAAAGTAGATTTGTCTCTGCCTGAATGGTCATTTAATTCAGAATCCACTGGGATGTCAGGGGAATGCCCCAAGCGCCCATTAACTAATGAAAGGCTCTGCTGGATGAAGATGCTTTTTAATTAGTTCTGAAGCCAGATGGATACAGGTGCAGTCTTTGTCAGTTTCATGTTCAGATTTAGCGTTTACATGACCTATGAGAGATCTTAGCTTGAAAATAAGAACAGTTGAAAAGACTGCAAGCTGTGCTAAACATTTTCTAATGCCTTTTCAGTTCAGAAAACTGAATCTGATAAAAAGCTAGTGTTTTATAGGGAACTTCAAAACATTTATAGGAAATCATTTTGTTTTAAAAACTAAGGTTTGGGGTTCCCAGCTGAGATTAATAAAGAATATAATGTTTAGTGTTCATTTAAAGACCTGGAGAAAAATAGTCTCCCTCTCTTTGGTTAAGTAAACACAAAGTCATCATGTTTTATTTATAAGTTGAATTACAACTTCATCTTAAAATCTCACATGTAAAATCCTAACGTTACAATTTTCATACTATTCTCATTCCATTTAGGTTACGTGGTGTTCTTGTGTTTCAATCCTGCATTCATTAAAGGTGGTGGTGGGGGTATTTTGGATGCATGAGGAATAGGTTTCTAAGTCAGGCCAGTGGTTAAGCATCCTATGTAAAACAGCAGCAGCAAAAGTAAAGCTGTTTGAAGCAAAGTTAAGATGGCCTCCCATACTGAGAGAATAAATGAAGCATCGTGTTATGTGCTACATTATATCCTTGTGGATAATGACATTTTCAGACACCAGGCATGCTGAGATAAAATAAAAGAATTACTGAATGCATGGTATCCAACTAAGAGACAACACTAAAATAATACTAGATTTGAAGTTCAACATCTATATTCATTTTAAAAATCCATTGGGACAGCAAATTGTTAGCAATTTGGTAAATTTTAATGTGTAATGTTTCACAGTGCCTTTAAAAGCACTTTGTTTACATTTTTCTTTCAGCTCTCCAGACAGAGCCTAAATGAAACAACTTCTGTATAGATGCACACTGCTCCCATGCTAGCTAGGAAAGTCTGCTTATAGAATACAATAATTAAATTAACTAACTCTTTTTAGAGTTAAATATATAAAATCTATGGAACAACGTAAAGTAGAAATTGAAGGCAAGTCGGGTAGGAGTAGTTAGGGAAGCAGCACTTTATAGTTCGTTTTACTTCATTCATGCAGTTTATAATTTCAAAATTAATGATTTAAAAAGAGATAAAAAATAAAGTTCTACCTGGTCACTTGATGATACCAAAAGAAAGAAACATTTTTCTATCAGAAAAAAACCATGAATTCCTCCAATCATTCCTAAGAGTTTCCAAACATATTCTTTCCCATTGTAGATGTGTTCCAAGTCTTGTGTTTCATGTTTATGTAACCCAAGAATCTGGAAAAAACAGTGAAGTAAAAAGAATTAAAAAAAAAAATCATTTGGTTTTTGCTACTTTTAATGACACTTATTTCCCTAAATTTTTTGGTATTCTCCAGTCCTGCCTTCCAGGCCCGTCCAACATAGAGAACTACCTATACCTGACACAGATAGGTGATTATTAGACAACTATCTACCAGCTTGCTCTTGATTATTCCCAATCCAACAACAAGACACAGGGTTAGTGTAATATGTTTGACTCCTTCCTTGGCTTCACACAGGACACACAATCTATAGCTATCTCTACTGGTTTGCAAGATATTTCTCTAAGATTTTTTTTCTTCCATTATATTTTATTAATGAGAACCTTCGTGAAAATAGGACCCACGTTTCTTCTGAGTTAATCATCTGTTGCCTTCTGCTTCTTACTCTTCAACTTTTCTCTGATTTTGCAAAGTGGATAGTGCAATGGGAGGGCTAGATCTATGGCTTTTAAATCACATGGAAAACTTTATTTTATAAAAATAAGAGCACATGAACATTGGCTAGGTTGAAGATACAAGATTTTCTGGATATCATTGTGGAGAAGAATGGAAAGAAGGCAGCATCATAAAGTAAGCATTTCTTTACATATAGGAATCATGCATGTTACCTGTGGAATTAGATGCAGCAGGGCATCTCCAGAAAGGGTCCCAACAGCTAAACCTACAAACAGCTGCAAAATGAGTGTATAGATTTCTTGACACGAGTGGAACAAAATAAGGGTTGTACCAAACATAGATCCGATAGTAATAAGCAAAACTGCAACAGTGCTGTAGCCATACTCTATGGGGAAAAGGAAACAAAAAAAACCAAGGGTACCTTTAATCATTCATTATTTAATTATTTGAAGCACACCAGTAGGAAAAGCTTGAGCAGTACTACATTCTTCTTTTAAATGCATAAGGGAAGGGACAAGACCTACAAAGAATTCATTTTACAATGACTTGAAGGGGAACAACCCCACCCCAAGATACCAGGCCATAAAAGACAGATACGCTCCTACTGTGGAGATGAAATTCAAGATACCTTACTTGTGGGGAGGCAAGATTGTCTCTCTTTTCTGTTTTCACTGACTTTTAATTCACTTGCTCACCATGCCTGGACCTTATAAATATTCACAGCTAATACTACCTTATTAGCTTAACAGAGTGTGTACAATGAACAGACAAAGGCCCAGAGTCTCAAACATATGTAGATGCCTAATACCCAGACACCTAATTCCCATGGGAATGATAAGCATAAATAAGTTTGAGGATCTGGGCCTAAGCTTCTTATTCTAAATTATGTCTGTTTTTTGCTGTGGACAGGCACAGGCTTCCTTTAGGGATTGAGTCAGGGTGTTTTCCTAGTTTAATAGGGTGTTTGGAAGGCTGAAAAAATAATACTTATAGTTTATGAACAGCTTACATCTTTATACTTTACAACAGGAATTTATGAATCTTTACTCCAATTTATGAGGTAGGTGAGAAACAAGCACAACTATGTTAAAGCCAGAATACTCTGAAGTATTTACTAACTTGGGGTTCAGCGGTCTTTTTAAATCAGTGATGATTGTGACAGCTCAGCACCTCTCAAAATGAAGGGGCATTAGGGGCCGACCTTAGGGGTTGAGCCTATTTCACTTTATATGCCTAAAAAGGACTGGTTCAGGGGGAAAACCTCCAGAAGATGCTGATGGCGGTGTCCCTGTCAAGGGGGGCACCAGCCCTACCGAGAGCATCAGTTTTGTCCATCGGGGGAGGGGGGGCACCAGCTCCATTAGGGGGCATGTGCACCCCCGTGTTCCCCCTACCAGTTGCCTATGGACCGTATACAGGTGTGTAAATGCAGACTTTGGCATTGTCATTTAGGCAAGGCTCTGTTTGAGTATTGCCTGTTCAGTTCTACTGAACATGCCCGTTAGAACATGCTTCAGCTAGGCAGCTGCCTGGAAAAGTAGAATGGACAAGTCTTGAAATTTTAGTTGGGCAAAAACTAGGACTACTGAGGAGGCAGCCACCAAACTAGGACACACCAAAGGAGGAGGCATAGCAGAAACCTTCCACCTTTTAGCCCAGTTGCCTAGTCATTAGGGCACTTAATTATTATTAATTACCAAATCGTGGTTGACCCAGGCACAAGGTCCCCCTCACCATAAGGGAGATGGAACTTGTGTCTTCTATTCCTCAGAAAAGGACCACTCTTTACCCTTTTTTTGAAGCTGGCCCATTAGGTAACCAAAATAGGGAGCTTTGTGAAGCTGGGATGGAAAAAACAAAGCAGAGGAAGAATGGCTTGATGAGATGGTTTTTGCTCTAGAAAGAAGAGGGTGGCATGTAGCCTGGTTCTTGGCTCACAACGGGGAAGGAACATTATCCGTTTTATTCAGAATATTACATGGAAGGTGCAGCGGGACAGCACAAAAGGGAGGCTGGAAATGGGTCTGACCTGTGGTGTGGCAGTTAGTGGACTTTGTTGGGAAGCCTGAGATGTAGCCTGTTAGGGATGGGAAGCTGAGGGAGGGGGATTGGAACCCAGTTCTTTTGCTTCCCTGGGCAAGTGCCCCAACCACTAGGCTATTGGACTAAAAGGAACGCATGTATCCTCTCATTCTCTTTTACTTCTGGCCAGTAGCATAACTAGGGAAGGACAAGCAGGACATCAGCCTGAGGTGTCAATTTAAAGGGATGCCAATATGGTTCCCTCCCCTCAGAAGTTTTTGCCACAGCAGGTATAGCTCTGTGCATTCCCTGTCTAGCCCTAGGAGCCAGGCTGGCACGGCCCTCCACCTAACAGTGTATCTGGAGGGGTGAGGGTTGGAATTTAGGTGCATAAAGTAAAATACAGTCTGGGTCCAGGTAACTCAGGTTATACTGCCCAACACTCAAGAATCCTAAATTAGTAGATACTTTTGACAGCTTAGTCCTCAGTGACTTGCCAAAGACCACACAGCAAGTCACCTAAAAACTGGCACTGAAACCCCTAGTCCTAGGCTCAGGTTTCATTTGCCTTACATCAGGACCGTGGCTTTTCTTCTTATTCCTTTTGGAAACATCCCCAGCTTAGGCTCTAAACCTGCAGAGACATTCTGATGGTCATAAAGGCCTTTGTCTTATACCATGGATTATAGATACTGAGCTTTATGTGGGGATTAACCTACACACATGCATTCCTGTTTGGACTCAGAAAAATGGGAGGTTTAAGAGTTAATTTTTAATGACTATTTTGGCTTTTCACTCTCAAAAAATATTTTTCCATATGAGATCATCATTAAGGGAGTGGTTAGGTCACTAGGAACCTGAAACCTTGCTCAATTCCCATTTCTGCTGTAGACTTCTTGCATAACCCTCACTCTTAGCCACTCTTTGCCTTGGTTCCCCATCTGTAAAAGATGGACAGTAGCATTTCCCTACTTGACAGTGGTGTCAACCTTAAAGATTGTGAAGTGCTTGGAAAATATGGTAATAATAAGGACTTGAAGAAAAAGAGACCTCTTTTTAGGGAGTGTCAGCACTTCCTTTTCCTCTTAATTCTAACATGATGTCCACAGACCTCTTTCCATCCCATAATCTACCATATTATTTACTCTACAGTGACCATTCACATTCATGTATACAACAGGGAATTGTGATCCAGTTCATTCCCAGAAGCATCTTAATTAATCTTGCTTAAACAATAGTTTAAATTCAAGGGTCTAAAGGCTCCAGCAGTCCTAGACAGATGATTCGCTGGGAGGATGCTTGGGAATCCTACCACCCATATCAGTGATGTGAAGCTACTAGACACTAATAAAATACTTCACAACAGATGAAAATACTCGGTGGACTGAGTTGTAGCCATACAAGTGTGTCAAACTGACTTCCTTCTCCAGGCCAAGTTAAACAAATCTTGAAGCTCATGTAGTTACTTTGCTGGGCATAGGTACATGCAGCTGAAAACGTGCTTTCCTTTCACATCATTATCCTTTCGCAAGATGATTTACTTTTGCTGTGAAAAATTCACAAAGTGAAAATCTGCAAGATCATATGCAGTAACTTTCTGGAGAACACTTTAACAACAGTAATTCAGCGCATCGTGACACAGCATATCAGGGGATACAGCTCTCAGGCCTGATCCACCACTTTGAGTTACCCTGAACTGAAACCAAAGAAGTTCTATTAGGATAAACCCAGAGAAACACTGTGGCTAAGCAGAACACTGGTCTCAGCTACACAGAGGGCCTGCCGTAGCCCATAGGCATTATATCTCCCACCGCCATCTCTGACCGTCACTGCAGAAGGTACACTTAAATGAGATTCCCCTCAAATATGTAAATTAAGTCTTGCTTGGACTTGGATCCCAACTTTTCTCACTATAATAATGCTATAATAATGCTATGTGGCACAAACACTATGGAATTCTCTCAGGCTCTGACTCTTCTTTTGGTTCAATACTAATGAATGAAATCCCTCTACAAAGCAAGGCCAACAATGGCAAGATAACTCACTTTCCAGGATTGTTGGTGGAGGCTTTGTTTGCTTGGATTCTGTAAGCTGACAAGAGCAACTTAGTAGTTGCTGAATGATTGCTGGACTGATTTGCTTGAAGTGCTCTTCAGAAATGGATAAAGGATTATTTTGTAAAACTATCTTCACAAGCTCTTTGGCAGAGAAGCAAGCCTATACAGAAAAGTATATATGATTACTAAAACAGAGAACCTGAGTTTAATATTTAGGTCAATGGTGAATTCAAAGGACTCTTCAAATCACATACAATCATGGACTTGAAAAGTAAATCCTGAAGAAAAATCTAGTTTTCCATCTGTTCTGTCCTGGTTACATCATTTAAAATGACCATCATTCTGAATCGTTATTAATCCATTTCGGTGGACCTAATCTTCATTTATGAGACAGGATGGCTACCACTGAAGTCATTTTACATCATCTGAGGGTTTAAAATATATGTATAACATATTTCTTAATCAAGACTATTTTTACTACCAAAGAGGAGCTAACATGTGGTTTAAAATTACTTGAGCTACCTTTAAAAGCACAAAAAGTTAGGAGGTTTGCAGGCAGAGCATTTGTGGTGGTACTGCAATTACATCTGTATTTGTGCTGCATATCTATGTCCTTCATAATACAGAGAGCAAATGGAAGTTATAAAGGTTTATTGGGTTGAACCATAATAAGGGTATACTAAGATCCCTATGGTGCTTATTACTTTTAGAGCAGCAATCGTGAGATAATCTAGCTTTGGTATGCAATTGTCTTTTGGAATCCATTTTTAATGTAATTCCTAAAGCACTGTTTCCCAAACTTTTGATACCTGGGGCACACTTTTTTTTTCTGAATTAAAATTGGCAGCACACTTTTTTGAATTTTGTGGCATGCCGTTTGAAAAATCACTGAGTCAGATCTAAATTCAGAAAAGATATGTGGCGGGGGTGGGGGGGGGGAGACGGGGCAGCTTTAAGGCTAAAAGTAGAGAATCACTTATTTAGCTGGTGCCACTGTGACGGCGACGGGCCGCCGTCATGGGTACAGGCGGAGGATAGG